ACCATCTCAATGCGTTTTGTTTTTACCTGTGACATGCCCCATTGGCCTTATGGATCCCTGTTATCTTCCCTGGTCTTTAAAACAAGACCCTTAAACTCATTTTCCGATCCCTGAAATTTTTGTCGGTTTGTAGCCTCATACCACAAGAATATCTGGTAAAGTATGTGGTGGCACATCACTTCAAGTCCTAAGAAACATTAACTAATGAGATTTTATCTGATATTTCCGGTCCCCTTCATTCCGCTCTTATTCAGTGTCTTTCTCACTCTTCCATTCACTCCACTCACAAACCTATAAAGATACGCAGTGAAGCTTACAGGCGCTCTATTGTCCCATATCTCATCAGATTTCTAACAAACCGTGAACTCGTTGAAGGAAATCTTTGCGAAACGCTCAACTTAATCAATCATAAACACCCAGGTATGCCATTGGTTTCTGATGTTGCTGTCCGTCTTCTCCTCTTTCAATTGTTGCATTGTAATGTTTTATTCACATTTTGTTAACACCATGTGGTTATGTGGTTGCTGAATATCCACCTTCCGAAGTGTGTAAAGTGATTCCTTGACTTGACTTGAAACCAACTTCATTCCTAAACCCAGTACGGCTTCCCCCCTAGCAGATAAGGTAACTCCAATATTATATTTGTGCTGGACAGCCAAACTCAATCAGATGATGATGGTTTGGTTTTTCATGCACTTTTCATTGACTTTGCAAAAGCTTTTTATCGTATACCCATGCTCCTTTACTCTATAAGCCTGAGTCATACGGCCTTACTGGCAGACTCCTTGTACTTCTTCGCGACTTCCTCACAAACTGCCATTTCTCGGTCCGCGTAAGTTCCTCACTCTCATCTGTTTTTTCCATTTCTACCAGAGTACCGCAGGGTTCCGTTCTTTGCCTATTCTTCTTCCTTATATATATGAATGACTTGCCGCATAAGATTGGAGTCTATGTTACAATGTAAGCCAACGGTGTGGCAGTCTGAGGCACCAACCCTATGGCTGTTCAATGAGCAATGAGAGCAGTCAAAGACAGGTCTACGGCCTGGTACCTCCCAATAAAGGACGACAAATGTGTTAGTACTTCGTTCGGGAGGGTCTCTGTACACACCTTCATAGCAAGCGCTTTCTCGACTATGAAGATTGTAGAACATCATAAGGTCCTTGGTTGCTGGCTCTCTCGTTATCCTACCACTCTCGTTATCCTACCACCAACAAAAAGCCATTAAATCCGCCTTCCGTATCCTGAACTTCCTAAAACGCTCATTTCCCAGAATATATAGAGACGACTTTTAGATTATCTATAGCACGTACATCCAAACCTTATTAGAATATGGGAGTCAAGTTGCTCACCCCTGCCTGGCGAGCGACTGTAAGGCCCTCGGGTGTGTACAACGGAGAGTGACAAAGCTTTTGCATGACTTTTCATCCACCCCATACCATGCACGCCCTTCTCTCTTGAATTTGTAACCCCTCAAAACCCATTGGATAGGAGATGACTTCTTCCTCCCGTACCATCTTTTCAAATCCGGCAGAGTCGACGACTTCTTGCGCATTAGCATAGATGATCTTCGTGGGCATTGCATTGAACTCTTCAAAACGCGTACCCGTACACTAGTCCGACAGCGCTCTTTCACCAACAGGATATTCCTCTTTAAACTAGCCTCCCCGAGGAAGTAGTAAATACTCCCATAAAATCCACTTTCAAATGCAGTTTAGACTTCTACCTTGGTCTAATCCGTGAACGGTAGATATCTCCTCGTCCCCTGGGGTTATTCATGTTTTGTGAAATGTTGTCCTGAACTTTCTGATGTGTTTTATTCCATGTAGATACTGCACTCTCTCTTTTACTCTTATTCCGTTTCAGGTAACGTTCTTGTACAGATAGATCACGGATTTACTTTACTATTCAACGACCGCCGCAGTGGAGCCCTGACTGGACCCGGCAAACCGTGACGCAAGATCAGAAGAAACCTTGATAACCCTTAAGATTCAGGACCATTGGACTTAGTCTCGCGCCCACTCTCTCACTTTTCCTGACAAATAGAATATTCTGCGTTAGCTCAGGAGATCAAACGTCACCATTCCTTCGGGTCCCCGGTGGCGTGCCACAAGGTTCGGTGTTAATTCCGCTTCTATTCTGTTCATAAGTGATCTAGCAGAAACCACCAGCTCACCCTGCTTCAGCTTTGTTAATGATGTAAAAGTGGCTGGATCTAATGGACGATCAGCCCTAGAAGTAGACATCGCGAAGGTGGTCAAGTGGTTCACACACACGCCGGCTGTTAGATGCAAGAGTCAGCTTTTCGGGAGATACACGAATACTCGCCTCGCGGCCAACGGGGATGCTTTGAAACAAGTGAGAAACCTTTGCAGACAAGAAATTCCGGAGCACCAGAGGTACACCCAGAGAGCTTTCTTTAGCAATGCTAGAAATAATAAACCCTTTTCTCCAATACATCTATATCTGGCGTAAATCCTCTCTCTTTCATAGGTCTCAATAACCCAGATGAATCAATTATCTCATCCCCAATAGATGTGGTGGTTACCTTCCAATCGCACTCTCAGAAAACCTTCAACTCCCTCCGGTGTTCAATCAACCCATGCTCCAGCCACTAGATACAAACTCATCCCTGAGCTCCATCTATGTTTCACAGGAAAAGACTTAAAGTAGACTTCGGAGCGTTAATCCCGACTGCTCCATGGGACCTGATAATACACACCCAAGGTTATTGGTGGAGTCAGCTGGTGTCCTGGCTGCCTCGTACACTCTTCTATCCCAACGCAGTATGGACAAAGGAATCTTTCTCATTGACGGAAAGGAAGCTATCAATTACTCCACACACAAAAGAGGCGGTAGACACTTCCCTGTTAGCTACCGTCCCGGTTACCTAACCAGCATCTCATCAAATTCTTGGAGCAACCTATTAAAGAAGAAATCCTGAAACATTTTCCGCTCAATAACCTTCTTTCTTGTTTCCAGCACGGTTTTCAACCTGGCATCACCAGTATGCTGACTGTCATGAATAGCCTGGCCAAAGCCTAAAATTCCGGAAAGATCTCTTATGCCATATTCATTGAATTTGCTAAGGCATTTGAAAAGATCCCACACATCCCTCTTTCTCACAAACTTGCAGCACACTGGATTGTAGACCCCTTGCTAGCACTTATTCGTAGTCTCCCCTCGGATTGCTCATTCGCTGTGCGGGTTGGGAAATCTTCATTAAAGCCCAGCCTAGTTGCAACCTGTGTTCCCCGAGGATCCGTTCTAGGCCCCTTCCTCTCACTTACCCGGTGTAGTGCAATCAAGTATTACGATGTAGGCCAATGATGTTACCATCTGGGATACAGACCCTTTCCTTCTACAGACCTCAATTGATGCCATCAAACTCTGTTCACCAGACTGAAATCCCCCAATCAACAACGGCAAGTTTGTTGGCATTTCATTCAGTAGTCACCCACTCTGCCCTGTTAGGATACATGATTCCCACATCCAACTCCAAGTGGGCCAATAGAAAGTTCTTGGTTTCTGGATATGCAACAACTCGTCTTTCTCTTATCACAACCATCTAGCCCGTAAGGCCGCTTTTCGTGACCTGAACATCATAGAGGTTGGTTTTCTTACTCTAAAGGACAATTTTCCTCCCATTTACGATACTTACATCCACACTCTATTAGATTACGGTAGGCAAGTTGCACACTCCAATCTCACCTGAAATCGTGACTGTCTTGAGCGCGTCCAGAGGACCGCCAAAAAATCCGTCCTTAGATCTGGGGACTTTCCCTACCCAACGCGCCCCCAACAACTGAGCCTCTATCCGTTAGAAAGCAGACGCATTCGGGTTGATCTACATGTGTTGACCATACTCGTGCAACATCACCCTCATTTTGGAAATCCGTTTCAGCTTGCAATATCATACATATATATATATATATAGATGGCTGAGTAAAGTGCATTTATTCCTGACTTCATCTCCAACATCTATGTTCTTAGTTCTTTTTTATCACCGTTTTAATTTGCGCAATCTTGGGTGTCGCGAAAAAATCGCAGTAGTTCGAAAGTTACAGCTCTGACTTGCAAAATATTTTAGGTATTTCTTATCTACCATCTCTTCCCCAGGGGTACTGTCAAAACCTTCATCATTGCTGACCCTAACCCCACCCGAGATTACAGTAAAAGAGTTTTCAAGCCCCGCCCAAGAACTACCTCGCGTGCCTTATTTTTATCTTTAGGTTGTTATCTATATGGAACGCCTTCCCTGAAGAGTGGGTCAAAGATCCCAATAAAGAGATCTTTAAACTTCGTTTTTACCATTACTTTGGTTTGATCATCCCCCCAATGAACGAAACCCAACTGATGCCCTTCAAGTTGGCTCTGTTCTAGAATCACTTCAAGAAAAAGACAGCACAGATAACTTTCAAGCACTCGGGACATTTTCGCAACAGCTTTGAATCCGTGAATCACTCCAATACAACTGGTAGAGCAAGGTATTGGTTAGTAGCCTTTATAAGCAGTCGTACCTTTAGAGTCAAGGTGGGTGACTACGTTTCTAACCATGAAGTGGTTACAAGTGAAGTTCCGCAAGGCTCAATGCTAGAACGCTTGGTTTTTCCTACATTCATCAACAATCTGGCACGGGATCTTCAAAATCAGTATTTTATGTTCGCCGATGATGTCAAAATGACTAAGGTGAACCTGCCAAGGGATCTGGAGGTAGTCAATCGATGGTCTGTCCAGTGGGATCTACCTTTAAATTTAATCAAGTGCCGGGTCTTGGTCAAAACAACTGGGGTATACTCATCAAGTAGAATGCCCATGCAACAGGTCTCCAAGGAGAAGAACTTAGTGATTCCTATGACCCAAGACTTTAAACCCACAACTCAGTGCTCAAAGGCTGCCAATCAGGCTTGGGTCGGCTGTTGAGGTTGTGTGTTACAGTCACGTGCAGTCGTCCTGAGGTTTTCATCCTACTTTACATCTCGATGTTTTGCCCACACATGGAGTATTGTGTGCAGACATGAGCAAGGTATTACAGGAGGGATGTAATATGTTTAGAGAGAACGCAAGGCCTAACTACCCGAATGGTAACTGGGCAAAAGGCAAGAGGCTATGAGCAATGGTTAAAAGATCTCTATCTCTTCCTGCGGGAGCGTAGAAGAGTGCACAAAGATCTCACAGAGACATTTAAAATTATGAGTGGTCTATCGCGAATCAACCAACATAAATTGTTTACGATTTCTCATGCTCAAACACGAGGGGGCATTAAAATTCATCAGAATCACGCCAGGTGAGAAGTAAAGGCCAAATTTTCTCACATGCTCATACCTATGTCAGGTTAAGTCAGGTAGAGTTGTACGGGACAGTAAAGGTTCTCGCCAACCGGGTGCTCAGATTCTTGTTCCTGCTGAAACCAATGTTCTACCAGAGCTTGGAATTCTTGTTGACAATTTGACTACAGTTGACTTCTTCGTCCAAAACAGTCTCTCTTTTCGAGTCTGTATCTGCAAAGAGGGCTTATTCGAAAATAGGAGGCAACCTCGAAAATCTCTGAATAGAGACTAATCCAGACCCATCTAGTTGCTTTTTGAACTCATTAACTGTTGTACAATCTAGCAGTAAAGATGATAGTTGGTTTCAATCATCTATCACTCTATCCGTGAGGAAGTTGTACTCGAGGTTGATTCGACTCCTGGGCTTTATTAGATTCAAATGATGACCCTTGTTAATTCCAGCGGTGCTCAGGTAAACAGGTTGTCCACCCCTAGCTCTGTTAGCCTCTTAATTATTTTGAAGGTTTTATTAAGGACATCTCTCAGACGTCTCCTCTCCATGGAGAAAAGCCCTAGGGTTTCTAGCCTCTTCTTTTATGATTTACCCCTCATTCCCTCTATCATCCTGGTGGCTAAACGTTGCATCCTCTCAATGCAGTTGATATCTTTTCACAAGTAGGGCGCCCAAGCTTGCGCGCAGTATTCCAACTGCGGTCTAACTACAGCCTTTTGTAGAGGCACGAAAACCTCAGCGTTCCTTAACGACAGAGCCACCGTTAGCTGGAATAGCTGTCCCCTTGAATTTTTGTGCAGCGGTCAACCACTTATCACTGGGATTGAAGTCCTCGCAAACCAAAATAGATCCCGCATTCCGTTCTGCGGTGGTAGCTACTCCGACCAGAAATACTACGTTATTTAGAACATGATACTTGNCAGCGATTAGCTCCAAGTTCCGATTCGGTTTCCACCGGTCAACCTTCGCCAGATCAGCTTCTTTTTGATCTACTGGTCTGGAGTTTACTAGTTTTACTTCATTCGCAAATATATGGGCAGGAACAGTAAGGGCATTGCTAACTACGGTTTCTAGACCCTTACATTCTGGTCAAACTTACGGGTTTATAGTTACTAGGTTGCTTTTTATCCCCACTATTGTGAATGGCTACAACTGTGGTAGTCGTGAATCTCTGGGTTCTCTTCTAGCCTTTAGGGACTCCTGATAGAGTGCGGTTATTTCAAGTACCAGCCCAGTAGCTACAGATCTGATAACAGGGGGGGGGCAGCGCGTCGCTGTCAGCAGACGCTTTCACATTCAAGCTCACCAGAAATTTAAGAAAACTACTAGGTAAAACGTGAACATCACCCACTGGAGGATGTACAGACACTCTCGTTGGACCGCACATAGGTCGTCTATTTTGTAGACGTTTTCAAAGTTCCCCGCGAGCTTCTCATACTTCTAAATCTGAGACAGACAGCCCTCCTCCTGGGTTCTCCAACGTGCCTACCGATAGTCTTTGTGTAGCCTTCGATTACACGTGACAATGACACCCATTAGGTTCCAGGCGCGCTCTCTTGGTGATTTTAACCTCGAAGGTCCTTTACACCTGTTTTACTTGCTTCTTTGCATAGTTTCGGGACCTCATATACGGAAGCCATTTATCATGCCCTCCTTTGCGAACGAAAGCTTT